CTCCCTTCTCTCCTGCTTCTCTGAATCCTCCCAGGATCAACTCACATGCTAATTACTCTGGAAACCTTCCCTGATCTCTTTCCTCACCCCAGTAAGGGAGGAGGAGCACATGTTGTTATCATGAGTAGAATGTAAGTTCTCCAAGGGCAAGGACTGTTTTGTCTTCGAATCCCCAGCACAGGGCTTGACCCATAAAAAGCACATAATAAATTCTTATTGAATTGGATTGAATTGAATCTCAGAGTTAGGAGGTCAATCAGAGGTCATCTGCTCTAATCTTCACCTAAGTAGGAATCCTTTCTGTTATATCCATGATAGGTGATCATACATCTCTGCATGAACATTTGAAGTGATAGGGAAGTCACTACTTAGACAGTCAGGTAGGGCATCATTATCATCATCATTATCATCACCACAGTATTTATATATAACACTTTAGGATTTGCAAAACGCTTTACACGTGTCATCTTATTTAACCGACCCAACAACCCTATCACTATTATTGGCATTATTATACTCATTCCAAAGATGAGGAAATTGAGCCTGAGTATCAAAATATTTAAAGGCAAATAATGATAATTTTCTGACAAATTTCTAAATGAACCACAAAGTTGTAATGCTGGAATTGACAACATTAAATCTGAAACCATATTCCTTTCAGAAAACAGCCCATAATGGCCCCTACCAACCAGCCATTGTCAACATCCAGACAGAAATTTGAGTGCTTTTCAGAATAAATTTTTGACCCACTTATGTCCTTTGTAGAGTTGGAGTAGGGTGGGCAAGAAAAAGATTAATTTTCTGGTTCATAGGACTTTTATGAACAATGTCATTATAGTTTTCAAAACAGTCCATGTAGAAGATACAGTTCCTGATTTGTTGATTTGAGGACATGACTATAAGATGTTAGAAATTATTTTTCTTTGTCTATATATGGAGGGAGCAAGAGGGGAAGAGGGGAAAATGCGTTTTCCTTTTTTTTTTATAGAAATGGAAAGAGCAATAGCTGACATTTATATAGCTTTTTTGTGCATTATCTCATTTACACAGCACTTTACAGATATTCCATTTTAACCTTATAACAATCTTGTAAGGCAGCATTTTTTTTTATTTGGACCTATGGTTTTATTGCATGGGAACTGCCTCTACCAAGACCCATTGCAGCTGAGGTGCTATTTTACAGACAAAGAACTGAGTGGAGGATTGGGAGGTTTAAGTGTCACACAGCCCATAGATGTCAGAGGCTAGAATTGAACCTAGGTCTATCTTGAGTGCAAGCCCTACCCTCTATTTAATATGCCACATTGTCACTCACTTTGCCATAGTAGGCACCTAATAAATGTTTGCTGATTTGAATTTCTTAAGGAATGGGTCCAGCTTCCAAGTTTACTGACAGTAGGGCTAAAACTAAATTCAGAATGTGAACACACACACACACACACACACACACACACACACACACACCCTTCTTCCAGAGAAGCTAAGAAGCTGGGGCAGATAAAAGTGAGGCTGAAAGCAGGAAACTGAGGCTAACTTTGCAAAATCACCATCTACCAGCTTCAATCCTATGTGTCATGTCTTGTGCTAACACAAGTCCGAAACACTGACAGATTCCATTTCCAGAGGATGCACTGTTCTCCCTTTCCCTGGAATGGCCAACTGAATGTGTGTTGGGGAGATAGAGTTGGGGATGGAGAGGCCAGTTTACAAAACTTTTCAGTAACTAGTGTGACAAGATGCACAGCATTATTGGGGGAGGGCAAACAACTTTCGCTCGGTGGGCTTTGAGGTTAATTGTCTTGATTGTTGGCATGATTTTTACCCTTAAGCTGGTCCTTTTACTTCTGAACCCTAGTCAAAGTCACCTCCAAGGCCTTCTCCCTTTTTGCAGTATCCTTCTCTCCAACTACTGCTGGCCATGGCTATGGAAAACAGTGAAATCGTTTCATGTCTTTCCACTTGTTTTCTTACTCAGGGCTGTCTGAACCCTCACTCTGACCCTATCTCATGCTGGCTTGGAAATCCACAGGGAAATCTCTTCCCTCCTACAATGGGCTTCAAGAAGCCCACTTGTCACTTCCTCTTTTTCAATTACTTCTCATCCAATGACTCCCTGGCCCAGTGTTCTCACGTAGTCAAGTGAATCTATTCCCAAGCCCATCATTTTTCTCCTGTTGTGAGCTCCTCCCTTTTGCACAAGCTTCTCTCCTCTTTTTCCTAGGCCATTGTACACACAGCATAACTTAGGATTAAATAGAAATCCCCCCCCCAAACCTAACACCACTTCCTGAATTCCACCCTCCACCCCGTGGCTCCTCCTCTTCTATAGCTAAAACTTTCACATAAGCTGCTAACCCTGTTAACAGGAGAAGATGCCCTCTGTCCTTGCCTCCCCTCAGCCCTTTTTCTTCCCTCCTACCCAGCTGTTCCGTAAGAGCAAAAATACTTGCTCCAGGAAATCTTCTTTGACTAAGCTTATTGATTTTGTATCCTGAAACCCTTCCCACTGTCCCCTACCCAGATGTCTAAATTCTATCCAACCACTCCTGGTTCTGATCCTGTCTCTGGGTCTGGGCCTCTGTCCTAAGTGTGTACCTGTCTTCTCTGCCAAATTAGGAGCCCAGTAGAGGCAAGATCCACAATTCATCTCTCTGAATCTTCCTCCACTCCCACTTCCCCTAACCCCACTGTCCAGAGCAGGGCTCTGAGAAGAAAATGGATGGTGCAGAGCAGAGCCTAGACTGAAACCCAGATCCTCTGGGACAACCACACTTCAATAGATTGGGCAAGTTTCCAGAATTCCAGGACCCTGGCTAAAGTTTGAACATGGAAGGCAGGGATGTGGTGATGAGAACTTGAGAATTGCTAAGAAATGGTTCCATACTTCTTGCCTAGTAGACTATAAGTATCATGAGGGCAGGGTTTTGTTGTGTTGGTTTTTTCTGAACTTCATGTCTCCCTCAGCACCTAACACAGTGTTCTGAACATAGTAGGTGCTTAATAAATGTTTGTTTAGGGAATTTCATAGGGTTAGAACTGGAGGGACCTTAAAGGTCATCTCCTTCATTTTACAGATAAGGAAATTGAGACCCAGAAGGTTTAAGTGACTTGTCCAGAGTCACACAGAAAAGAATTTAATTGAAGAGCTATTCGCTGCACTATTTGAAATAAAAGTTCTCTGTATGAGTCCAAGGAATTCTAAAATGAAGAGATTTAATCAGTCCCACTCCATCCTTTTTCATTTCCTACATTTGGCAGCAAATGCCAAATGCGGGACCATATGGTAACTCAAAGTCTGCACCAGAAAAGAAGAAAGAAGAAAACCCATGCATGAGATTTATGTGTATGAAAGATGTATTAGGGGCAGCTAGGTGGTACAGTGGATAGAACTCTGATAGTATAGCATCAGTATAGTATATGATATATGACATAACAACACAACACAACATAAAACAACACACAACTAATAACATGTAACAACATGTAATAGCATGTAACATGTAATATATGATATGTGACATAACACAACACAAAACAACATGCAGTCAATAACATGTAATAACATGCAATAATACACGATAACATGTGATAACATATAATAGCATGTAACATGTAATATGTGATGTATGACATAACACAACATAAAACAGCACACAATAACGTGTGATAACATACGCTGTAAGTAACATGCAATATATTGGTGACACACAGGTAATGATATGTGGCAACATATGATGACATGTAACAACATATTACATGTGACAACGTGCGATGACGTGTCACGACATATGGCATGTAACATGTGCCATGTAGCAGCGTGTGACAACATGCAACAACATGTAACAGCACATGACATGTGACCACATGCAGTGGCATAGAGCTGCGTGTGATATGTAGCAACATATAACATGTGACGTGTAACAACATGCAATAACATGTGACATGCCATAACCCTCTCATAGTAATAACATTGAGTGCACTTTATGGTTACAAAGTCCTTTTATGTTTGTTTCCTCTCTTGATCCTCAGGTGTATTTATCTTTGTTTTACTGATGAGAAGACTGAGGCTCAGTGTAGTTAAATGACTGAAGTTAGATAGATGGATAGTAGCTGGTCAAGCCAGGACTAGAACGTAGGTCTTCTGATTCCTTGGACGATAGTAAGCAATCACAGACCAGCAGTAGCCTGGAAGAGTCCAGGAGGGTACTGAGAGTCTCTCCTGTTTGGAACCAAGTCCTAGAGACCAAGTGGCAGCTGCTGCAGGACCATGGCTCCATCTCTAGCTCTGACACCCAGAACCTTGATCCGTTCTTTGAGAACTACATCAGCAGCCTCAGGTCCTACCTGGATGGGCTGGTTAGTGACAAAAACAAGCTGAATGGGGAGTTGTGTAGTAGGGAAGACTTGGTTGAAGACTTCAAGAAGAAATGAGTTTCACTTCCAGCTGTAGCTTAGCAAGCATCTGGGTGTGTGCGTCATAGAGTTAGATCTGGAAAGGACATCAGAAGGAATGTCATCCAACCCCCTCATGTTACAGATGAGGGAAACTGAGGCCCAGAGAAGTTTAGTCACTCACCCTTTCGTGTGGAGGAAAGGATACTAGATAGTAGGTCAGATGATCTGAGTTCTAGTCCTGGAGTCAAAAGGACCTAGTTCAAATCCAGCCTCAGACACTTGACACTTATTTCTGCTGTGTGTTAGAAGCACTCCCTCCTTCTCAGGGATTCCAGAAAGATGATTGGTGGGGAATCAGGTGTTATCTATTATCTCCGATCCTCTATCTATGCCTTTAAATCTTTGACTGAAGTAATTGATTGAGGGGTATAAGAATATGATGTGAGTGTTTCTCCGTTTGCCCAAGTTGGCTGACAAGGGAGGTTATGCAGGATCTTCTCAGTGATTCCGGTGCTACCTTGACCCAGATGGACACTTATCTATGAAGTTATACTTAGAGAAACAGGAGGAGAATTCAACAGATTTTAGAAAAAGAAAGCAATTACCTCACCAGTGCCAAAAAGGATGGTTTCAGGTTGTTTTCAAAACAGGATCAAAAGGTCTGATAACTTGTAAATGCTCATTTAGACGGGAGCAGATGGAGCCAGGGGAAAGAAAATGGAATGCTTCAATATACAAATATCCTAAGGGGGGGATAGGTCTCAATTATTAATATAGCCACATATAAAAGCATGTTTACATGGATCTGTTTTCTAGGAAACAGTATCAATCCCTTCACATTCCCCAGAGAAAGGATGGCTCTTTCAGTTACAAAATCCAAACATCTCCTTCATACACAGAATGAGAAGGGCCATCAGGAACCTCAAAGCAAACACTGTGAAATTGAACTGAATCACAGCAGTCTATGTCTACAGGAGCATCCTCTGTGAGCTCACTGGAGAGGGTGGAGCTTAATCTTCAGAAACTGTTGCCTTCCCCCAGTAAATGAGGAAGGCTTCTCCAGAAGCCAAACAAAATCCCAAAGCCTCCTGTATCATAAGAACTGTAGGAGGCCATGGCACCGAACAGGAGATGATTCCATTTCACTGATATCCAGCCCGTGGCTTCTCTTCTGGCCCATTGCCTGATTTTCTTCAGTCTGGCTTTGTAAGCTCCTGTGGAATCCACCCAATGAAAAAATGCTTACGTTTTGAAGCTCAGCCATATCAGGCCAGGAGCATTCCAAAGTCAACAAAAAGGTCTCTTCATGATCCCTTGTCCCCTCACTGGCCCCTCCCTGTGACCTAAGATTCCTGACAGGTGTGGGGACCTGCCCGGCTTGCCTTGACCTTTAGCAGCTCTCTCTGGGTGGTGACCTCAGTGCCCAAGGCCACCTCAAAGCTCAGAAAGTCCTCACCTTTTTAACTTCTCTGTGCCTCAGCTTTCTCACCTGGAAAAAATGAAAGGACTGAACCAGAGGATCTCCAAAGGTTCTTTCCAGCTCTAAAATTCTATGATCCCTTGGAGATGCCAGGAGGCCTTTTCTAAATGATTCTTCCACACCCTCGTGTAAGTCTGCTCCTTTCTCTCCATACTTCCTCATTTTCCTCCCTATCCTCCCTCCTACCCTTCCCCCCACCAAAAAAAAATGGCCGGAGTGTTTTCCAGCTGTTCTGTGCCTGTGTTAAAGCCTGGGCCCTATCTTCCCATTAGACTGGGAACTCCCTGAGGGCAGAGACCAGGTCTTCCTCCTCTTCTCCGTGTCTCCCACACCCACACTCCCCCATACCATCGCCCAGGGCAGGGCACTGAACATGGGAAAGAAGTGCTCGGTGTGGGTGGTTGTAGCAACAACAATAACAACCCCAACCTCTATACCCTTTAAGGTGTTTGAAGCACTTTGCACACAACACTATGTGAGGGAAGCTGTTCAGCTTTGTGGTATAGATTCAGAGGAGGGAGAAGGGGAAAGAATATGTATTTATTAAGTACCTCCTACATGCCAGCCACCGTGCTAAGCACTTTACAGATATCTCATTTCATCTTCACAACAACACTAAAAGGTAGATGCTATTATTATCCCTATTTTACAGTTTAGGAAACTGAGGCAAACAGAGTTGAAATGATTTGCCAAGGTCACATGGCTAGGAAGTGTTTCAGGCTGGATTTGAACTCATGGTTTCCTGTTGCCAAGCTTGGCTCTCTGTGCACTATGGCGCCTCCTAGCTTCCAAGAAGGAAAGTGACCTACTAAGGGTCACACAGCTAGTATCAAAGCCAGAATTCAAACCCATGTCTCTTGACTCCATGTCCAATACTTTCTAACTTGTTGTTATTCTTTGTCCTTCATATTTGAAGAGGACCAATGACATGATGATGTTTTTCACCATGGGTCCCACTACAGTTCATATAGTTCCATAAGTGACTGTGATCAGCACCCTCAAACACACCTTCCTTCCCAGGAGAAAGAAGAGATGCCATGCTAGAGTAGGAAGACCAGTGGAGATCATTCACAGAACTTATTATCGGAAAGGATTTTTAGAGATCGCTGAGTTCAGCCTCTCCCCCTATTTTGCAGATGAGGAAGCTGAGGCCCAGAGAGATTCAATGATTTGCCTAGAGTCACACAGGTAGTAAGAAGCAGATACGACACTGGAATCCAAGACTTTTGGTTCAGAGTCCATTCACTGCTAAGTTGTAGAGTGCTTTGAAGACATTTGGGAAGGTGAGGGAATAGCAGGCCAGAGCCCGAGCTCCAGGACATCATGATGTTGCAGTCAAAGTATAGTATGTTCGACTGTGGCTGATCAGTCCAATATGAGCTCAGAAGGCTCTACGACAGGTCAGCCACAATGACTTTGGAAAGTCCCTGTGACACTACAGCCTCCCCTGGGAAAGATACAATAGAGAAGAAGGAAGCCGGAAGGACATCATGAAAACTAGAACTGAAATGTCTTAAACAATGCAGTTTATTGAAGAGGAATAACAGCACATTTCCCTGGAACAGTATCACTCAACAAGAAATCAAAGCATCTGGATAAAATATAGACCAAAGGATCTCCCAGGGGTTAGAGTCACTAGACTGAGACTCTCCCATAGGACAGAGGGCCTTCTGGGGCAGAGGGCAGGCTCTGGACATTGATCAAGGGCCTCATATCCTAGGTATAGGCCCAAATGATACTTTCCAACACATTGCAAACCCTCTGACTTCCATGGCTGTGGTCTCAATAGCTGAAGGATGCCAGAGCAGGGGGCAGAAGTAAGAAGAGGACTGGAAGCTATGTAGGGGTGAGGATAGCATAATGCAGAGTTTGCTTAGCCTGGGCTAGTAAGGAGCACAGATGAGCAGGGTTGGGCTTTTGATGGTTTACTCATGTGTAGTTTAGAATTTGCTGTTGGACCTCTGGCTCCTCATAGAGCTCTGTGAGACCTGGATAGAACTACTACCACCCCCACTGAGAACCCCAGAGCCTCCAGACTGGCCAGAATACCCACTTCTAATGCTACAGCTCCCACCAGAGCTCAAGCCCCCACTAGAACTGCTGCCATGGCCCCCACTGCCCATCCCCCCACTACCATAACTGCCCCCACTGCCCATTCCCTTGTTGCCCATCCCCACACTGCCATAACTTCCCCCACTGGTGCCACTTTGGCCAAGTCCACCAGCTTCTCCTCCCATGGAAACACCACTACTGCTGCTGGTGCTGTGGACCATTTCTGGAGAAAAAAAAAACACACACGCATATGCAATCAGTAACCTGGAGTGGCTTTCCACTAACCTCCCCCATCACTCATCTACGCGCATACACACACACACACACACACACACACTGAGCTATAGCTAGAAATGTTGGTGCCCAGGGCAAGCAATTTTCCAATTCACAGTGTGAAAATAATACAAGTAATTTAATATAAATTCAATGGAGTGGAAGAGGAATTAGTTATGATCCTGGCTTCTACCTGCTGAAGGCATTCATGTGTTACATTTAGGTGCCCTGGGTCAAAGCCCTGATCATCTTGTCCTACTTATGGATCTGCACTAAAACAATCCCTCTAGTTTCAAATTTGCCATGTGACCTTGAGAAAGGAATTAGACTTCTATGTTCCTCATTTCTAAAATGAGGAATTGGACTAGATGGTTTCTAGCTATAATACTGTAGGGGTGCATCAATACCTATATTTAATCTTGTAGGAACTATACTAACAGATGTCTTGTCAACTTCTATGGCAGACAGTTGAGTGTCATGTCAGAGAAGGTATAGAAATTTCTAATCAGACATGGGTTAGAGTAAGTGGCTTCCAAATCAGAGACTCTGGAATCGTTTAGTGGAAAGCACACAAGACTTGGAGGCAATAGACCTGGGTTCAAATCAGGATTTGTTGCCAACTAGTCAAATGACCTTGAGCAAAAAATTTGCATCTCTGGATCTCAGTTTCCTTGTCTGTAAAATGAAGCAGTTGAACTAACTAAACACTCTATAATATCCTGCAGCTCTAGGACCATAGGTTTCAGAAAGAAAAAATTGCAGATTCCAGGAAATGTACTGGATGCCACTTGTATCTGTAATCTATACTGTGACTGCTGAGCCCCAATCTCTCAGGGAAAGGAGTGGGAAGCCATAGGCTCCTTAGCCTAGGGAAAGGGAGGAAGCCAACCACTCCTATTCCCAAAACCAAATCTGGGTTGGCTCTCGATAGCCCTGACCACAACCTCTTTTGTCTCCTATTCCTATTGTTCTTCCCAAGTCATAGTTTAAGAAACAGCAGCCTAGCATTTTACCTCTCCCACAGCTCCTCAAAGTAACAAACCAATGCTTACCGATGCTCACGGTGTTCGGGCACTCTCCAGACATCCTGTTAGGGGAAAACCTCCAGCTGCACATTACTGATCCCAAGCTTGGGTTTTTTCCTTATGTCTCCCCTGGACTACAATACAGCCATCTTTAGTTCAATAGGGACCTTTCGCTGAATGTCATCTTTCTCCTGGCTGAATTAGCTAAAGCCTAAATTCTCTACCTTCCCATGACTACCCTCTTTCTTAGGAAGAGGGAATTCTGCATAGACTAGAGATAGAAGGACCTTTCTCTAGGCAGAGTTAGAGCTAAATTATTTCCCTTTCCATAAACATTCTCAAAGCAGGACATTCTTCAGCCTCCCTTGGAACTGTGCCTTGGTGCTTCTGAGTCCTTAAAAGCAGAATGTTCTCCCTGATCTTCTAGCCTAATTCTTCCCCCTGGAGTTTTTGAGGTATTTAGCCTGAAGAAGAAGTGACAACAAAACTGCCTTCAGATATTAGAAGGCCTGTCACATGGAGAAGGGATTACATTTATGCTACTTTACTCCCCAGAAAAATAAAGATCAGTGGAGGGAAATTACACGGAGGCTGACATGAGATTAATGACAATTAGAACTGTCCAAAAAATGGAAATGGCTGACTCAAGGGGTAGTGAGTTCCCCATCACTGGAGGTCAATAAGAGGAGGTAAGATGATTCTTCTTATCAGGGATGTTGTTTAAGGGATTCATGTCTTGGGTAGGAGGTTGATGTAGAAATACCCTTAATGCATGCTAAGACTCACTGTCTCTTCTACATCCAACTCCCCCAAACTCAAGGACTTAAAAATCTCCTTCTGGCCTGTGTCTCCTGGACCAAACCATGCTCCATGTCTAACCATGGCCCCACCTGCATTCCTCTCCCTCCAGCAGCTTCCTGTAGGTGGCTATCTCCATGTCCAAAGCTAGTTTGACTGTCATGAGCTCCTGATAATCATGAAGTAGGTGGGCCAGGTCATCCTTGGCCTGCTGCAGGGCAGCCTTGAGGTCCACCACCTTGGCATTAGCATCCGTAAGAGCCATCTCCCCACACTGCTCAGCATCGGCAATGGCTGCTTGAAGGTTAGCGTTCTGATGGGGAAAGGGTGGGAATGACAGGGAGGGAGTAGAGAGGAGAGAAGGAAAATAGTGTTAGCATCGTCACATTCTTCAGAGGGATGCTTCTCGTGACTGGATAAGTATGACTGGAGAGTGATCAGTCTATGTTTATATGTCCCTTTATAGTTTACAAAGCACAGTCCTCATAACAGCTCTGTGAAGTAAATATACAAGTCCTATTCTTCCTCTTTTCTGTCTATATTTTCCATATAATTTGTCAACATCAGATCTGTTGAACTTAGGGTACAATAGTCTTTCTACCACTGAAAAGCTGTCTCTGCCAAGAAGCTTGCCTGGATTAAGGGGAGGTGAAATGGCTGACAGCTTCTTCCCAGCTTCCCCCTGCACTTCCAATCTGGACATGGGGCTTCTACAGCCATCCCCACAATGCACATATTTACATCTTGGCTTTGCTGTCTAAATGTTTGCATGACCTTTTACATTTTGGTAATGTTTCTGACGTTAGCCTGCTTCAGGCTTCCATAGGGCAAGGCCTGAGTGTGGTTGCTATCCTGGTGAAGCTCCCGGGACAGGATCAATTGGATGGGTGGAGGGGCACTAATCAATAAATCAATCAACAAGCATTTATTGAATACTTACTGAACCAAAAGCTCCCTACATGGATAATTAGGCCTTGCATTTTCACTTTCGACAGCCATGTTTTATGATTTAAGCTTAAGCCATAATAATAACTATTATTATAATAGCTGACACCTAAAGTTTGCAAAGCTTTTTACATATATTATCTCATTTGAACCTTCCCATTTTACATATAAGGAAACTGAGGCTCAGAGAAGAGAAATAACTTGCTCAGAGTCACAGAGTGTCAGAGGCTAGACTTGAACCTAGGTTTTCCTGGCTCCAAGTCTAGCATCTATCACCTCTCCCTCCAGCTACCCACCTGCTTCTTGACATTCTCAATTTTAGCTTGAAGCCTCTGGATCATCCTTTTGAGCTCAGAGATCTCACTCTTGATGTTTTTCAGGTCATCCCCATGCCTGCCAGCTGTGTTTTCCAGCTCTCCCAGCTAATAGTCAGAAAACAAACCCATAGTCAGAGCACCCAAAGGACCCTTAGAGATCTTCTAGTCTAATACCTCCACCATTCTACAGATGCAGAAACCAAGGCCGAAAGGGGGGAGGTGACTTGCCCAAAGTTCCATAGCAGAGCCAGGACTGAACCCCATGCACCTTTGCTCTCACAACAATTTACAACATATCATTGCCACAGTCTGATGGTTCCAGAACCTAAAACCTGACTCAATTTCAGGTTGATGCAACTGCCCAAGATGGGGAATTTCTGACTATTCTGGTGTGACCAACTGGAGAGAATCTATGTGGAGCTCTTTGGGCCAGCAGAGAGAGTCTAGGTTCACATCATTTCTCCTCGCTCCATAGTAGAGAAGGAATTTTGTACTCTGCATCAAAAGCAGATGCTAAAGGAAATGTGCTTGGAATTCAATAAGGACTTAGCCTGGACCACTTTTTTGTGATGAACCCCTTTGGCAGTCAAGTGAAGCCTATTGGCTTTCTCAGAATGATTATTTTAAGTGCAGAAGATAAAACACAGATGGTTAAGGAAACCGATTATAATGAAATAGTTTTTAAACATGTTTAGAGAAGAAGAGAAGAAGAAGAAGAAGAAGAAGAAGAAGAAGAAGAAGAAGAAGAAGAAGAAGAGAGGGGAGAGAGAGAGAGAGAGAGAGAGAGAGAGAGAGAGAGAGAGAGAGAGAGAGAGAGAGATATTGAGATTCATGGCCCCGGATTAAGATCCCCTGGGTTAGAGAGAAGGTTTCTGTTTTCTACTTCACAATGATCAGGAAAAGAATTCCATGATACCTAGAGTAGGTAATTGAGAGGAATGGTAGAATGTTTTCCCCAGGGGATTATGAAAAATAACTCTAACTCTCCTTAATAAAACTTCAGGTTTGCAGATCACTTTCCTTGCCCTGTAAGGAAGTATTACTTCCACTATTACAAGTATTACTCTCCCCATCTTGAAGAAGAAGAATCAGCTTCAGAAAGATGTGGACTACCATGGTAACACAACTAGAAAGTGGCCAGTCTGGAGTTCTAACCCAGGTTTTCTGACTCTCAGTTACAAAGAATATATGGGACTCTAACATAGGGTAAGTCTGGACTGTCAAAAGCAGGAGTCTGCTCTTAACAAACTCCTTGCCCCAGCTCTAGGGTCATAGGACACAAGAAGTTTTCCCAATTACTTACTTTCCTCTGGTACAGGGCCACAGTCTCAGACTTGCTCCTCTGTGTGATCTCCTCATACTGTGCTCGGACTTCAGTGATGATGCTATCCAAGTCCAGACATCGATTGTTGTCCATGGACAGGATCACAGAAGTGTCTCTGGTGTCTGACTGCATCTGGGACAGCTTCTGCAAACCCACATGGGTACACTCACTCCCAGACATGGTCTGTGGGCACTGAAAACCATCAGAGAAGGAGGAGGAAAAGGAGGAAGAGCAGGAGGAGAAGGAGGAGGAGGGAAATGTAGGATGTGGAGGAGATAATATGGATTCCAGCAACAGGGACTGCAGTTATATAACAAGACCTTCCTGAAAGTCCTCCAAAGAGAAGCTAGAAAAGCTCACCAATATGTTATATTATTAATATAATTGTTATTACTATGCAGTGAAAAAGATTAGAAATTTTTCCATTAAATACAGAAATAAGCATCAATGCCTTCTTCCCCTGCTATTATTTGACATAATTATAGAAATTCTATCAGTAAGAATAATAAGACAATAACAATAAGAAAGAAATTTAAAGCATAAAGTCAAAGAGAACACTCTACCTCTGCTCAAGGGAAAATAAATACAAAATACTTACAGTCTTCTCATCACCCATCAAAAATCAAAATAATTCAATCCAACCCACATATTACCACTACAGTTCCAAAAAAAAAACCCTTAGAGATATAAGAAAAATCTCATAGACATAGATATATTAAATATAGATGACTTTGATATAGATGATATACATATAGACTCAGATATGGGTATGGTGAGATAGATAAATGATGGATGGATAGATAGATGATACATAAATGATAGATGGATGGATGGATAGGTAATAGATAAATGATAGATAGACAGACAGATAGATAGATAGATAGATAGATAGATAGATAGATAGATAGATGATAGATGGATGGATGGATGGATGGATGGATGGATGGATAGATAGATAAAGAGAGAGAGAGAGAGAGAGAGAGAGAGAGAGAGAGAGAGAGAGAGAGAGAGGGAGGGAGAGAGAGATACAGATGTAGATATGGAGCAACTCCATGGTGCAGATCCAGGCCTGGAGCCAAGAGGACCTGAGTTTTCAAACTAAACACTTACTAGCTGCGTGACCCCTAGACAAATGACTGCTGTCCACCTCAAGTTTTCTCACCTGTAAAATGGGGAATAATAATAGCACCTACCTCACATGATTCTTATGATGATCAAATGAGATAATAATTGTAAAGTGCTTACTTAGCATAGTGCCTGGCACATAGCAAGCAATATATGTGTTAACTGTTATTATGATATAAATAAAAATTGGGGATGGGGGGATCTTAAAGAACTCCACTCCCAATACCAGAGGAATTGACAGGAGGTCATAGAAATAAAGCAGCCTCAGTCCCCCTGACTCTCACCAAGCTTTCCTGAAACACCCACTTTGCTCATTCGGCCCATAACATCCCAAGCCCCAAGATGGGCCACATTCTTATTCCTTTCCCTGCTTCAGTGTAACTAACTTCAGTCGACAGCCACCTGCACCAGCAAAAATGGGGATAATGTGATTATTGCCAAGGAGCCCCCTCCTCTGCCAAGCAAGGATGATGAGCCCATCGCCCCTTGAGAATCTCCTGCCCCCTTCAGCTCCCAATACTATACATCTCTACATAGCCTTGATGTCTATGTCTATATAACTGTGTCAGCCAGGGGAAGGATATGTGAGAGTTTTTTAATTATTAAATTTTATTTTTAATTTATGGAATAAAACAAACATTTCTGTAACAGTACAATAAAAGATGATTGCACATGAAACTGCAAATCTACTATACACAACTTGCTATTCTTTTCAAATATGCAACAAAATTATCATTTAAATTTCTTTTTTTCTTCCTTCCCCTCCCCTTCCATAGAGATGGCTACCATTAGACACAAATAGGTACATATATGCAAAATTATTTTATACATACTTCTATTTATAAGCTCTTTCTCTGGATGTAGATGTGTCCTTTATAATTAATTTGGGTATTTATAATAGTGATATGTGTTTTTAAATAGGATATGTGTTTTTAAATCTTAGTTCCTGACCAGTTCTTAGCCAGTAGAACCGGGCTCCCCATAGCCGAGCAATCAGGGACATTGGAAGGATTGGAGGAAACAGAGCTTGGGGAGTTAATGGAGCAAGGAGTGAGAAAAGTCATGGAATCGCTTAGCTGGAATGGACCTCAGAAGGGAATTTGTTGTATCCCTACCCAAATCGCAAATTCTGACCACAACAGCCTGGTTCAGACATTGTCTAGTCCAACCTCCCACCCCATGCAGGGCACCCCATCAGGTTAATATCCAGCCTCTACCTGGATACTTTTGATACAAGAATTTAGAGTGACATAAATTCTCTTGTTGAGGGATCCAGGATTTTTTGTTCTTGTTTTTTGGGGTTTTTTATTGTTGTTTCAAGGGTTTTTTTGCTTTTTGATGAAGCAATCGGGGTTAAGTGACTTGCCCAGAGTCACACAGCTTGTAAGTGTTATGTGTCTGAGGTCAGATTTGAACTGGGGTCCTCCTGACTCCAAGGCTGGAGCTCTATCCACTGTACCACCTAGCTGACCCCGATCCAGGATTTTTTTATGATTTTAGAAAGTAACTTTGTCTTCTAGTACTCAGCTTATGGCTCGATAGTTGGACATAAAAACTCCTGGAAAGCTTCCATGTCAGGGTACTCTTTTTAATAAAAGTTACAGCTTGACTGTAAACCTTAATGATCAAAGGACAAGGACCTCTAATCTTTTGCTGTAAGAGTACACCTCTCACCTTTATCCTTTGCATGGTTTCCCACCAAAGTCCCTGTGACACCCCCCCCCATCTTAAGTCAACAGCTTTCTATAGTAGTTACATCTGCCAGACACAGATTCCTGGCTTCCTTATCTCTCCAGTACAAATATTTGTATATTCAATACCCCCATATACATGGCCTGAGAAGCAGTATAGCATAGTAAAATGATGGGCTTGGAGCCAGGAAGACCTGAGTTCCAGTCCTATCTCTGACACAAATTATGTTACTGTGTCTAAGTCACTTAACATCTTATTGCCCTAGGAAACTCTCTAAGATATAAGTTGTGAGCTACTTTTTATGCCCTCCCCAAAACTTGAGATCATTAGTGGGATGTATGGGGTGGGGTGGGTTGAACAATAAAAGAGGGAGAAGGGGAGGGAGGGTGTGCACTGGTAATGAAAGATGTGAACAGGAGAGGAATGACTGCTTATGAGCCTAGGGTAGAGAAGGATCAGTCCTCCAGATCTGTGATAAAGCTACCAATTTATCACAATTATCCATTTGGGAAACCCTAAAAAAAGCTAATGAATCAATTTAGGATTGTGATAAGCCTGACATTACAAGTACGCAATCCTGACTCATCACGCCACATTGAGAGGGAAGGATGTTGGTCACAACCCATTCAAGGAAGGTCATGAGATTCCACTTAATCCAATATGGGCTCAGGTACCTTCAGCCTCTTCCCTATTTCCAACCCCTGTGCATATTGATCTAGTTTCAAGGTATTACTCTCCTGCTTAGAAAACTACTAAAGATCCCCGTTTTCTACCATGTACACAAAACCAAGATGCAGTATATCATGCAGCAGTTTATTGAAGAAAGAAACATAGAAAAGAGAGAGGGCAAAGCATGCATTCAAACATAGGACTGTGCTGGGATTGGAAGTGGAGACAAAATCCTAATGGAAGAACCTCAACTCATATCACAGAAATCTCAGATTTGGAGAGGACCCCATAGGTCATCTAGTCCAATGAATACATGAAAGAGCAATCTCTTCTGCATTATCCCTGACAAGCGAACATGCAAATCAAACTCTCCCCCAGTGCCTTCGCCCACCAAGATGCTGAGATACATGATGGTTCCAAGGCCAAAGAAGACTCATCTCTCAGACTCTGCTCTTGATCCGGAGGGCAAGGAGGGGGCCAGGGAGCCAGGGCAGTGGCTAAACTTTAATACTTGGTTGTGGAGCGCTGGCTGCTGGTGGTGGTCTGGACAATCCTGGCTGAACGTGAGCTGCCACTCTCTCCAGAACTTTGGCCAATGGTGACTCTTCTGCTTCCAGACTGGGAGCTCTGGCCGGTAATCACAGTCTGGTCTCCACGATTGCCAGAGCCAGAGCCTGAGATGCTGTTCCCTCCAGTGCCCTGTCCCCCTCTGCTTCCTCTTCTGGAATGGCCTCCAAAGCCGGTGCTTGTACTAGTGTTGCTGACTACAGCTGCAGAAAGGGTAGATCAGGGGTCACCTGTGCCCTGGGCTGACAGCTGACTGGAGAGGTAACCCCAAAGTCATGAGCACTAGGGTGCTATTGGGACAGAAGGGTAGGAAACAGGAAACAGACCTTTGAGGTCTGAGAAAGGATGCAGGGACCCACACATATAAAAACAGAAATGGACTCAGCCAGACACGAATCTAGACATCAGGGTTGGAGAGGTGGATAAGGGGAGCTACGGTTAGAAGGGACTAATCATCAAAAACTTCCTAAAAATGGGAAGTGAGAAAAGTACTTTCAAATCTCTCCACACCAAGGATGGAGAATTCCAGGTGAATCTTAAAAGTATAATCTCATCTTAGACTCAAGAAGATTCAGTCTTCACCCCAGTGACACCTTCCCTGGGTGACTTGGGAAGTCAACCAGAAGGCTGTAATTCCTTTTGGACACCTCAAAGCCCCAAACCTACCCCCACAAGGATGGAACCTAGTGGCTAAGAAAACTTAAAACATTGAGGGAAGGATATATGGATGAACTAACTGAATATGGCAAAGCTATGTGGTCTCAAAGAGAATGTTATTTCAATCAAAAAAAGGAAGAGAAGAAGATACTTACAAATACATACAGTGTTTTGGCACTCCCCAGACATTCTGTTTGGAAAAGAAAAGCAAATTTCAGGAGAACAAAAAACTTAGCTGGGAAAGAACTAAATATTGGCCAGACTTGGCTCCTAAAACTTACCAGAGAGAAGCAAAGTCGTTTATTAACGTATATTTTATATATAATAATACATATATACATTATAATACGTTATGATATACTATATATTATCATATATTACATATAGTAATATGTATTTATGTAAAGAGCCATAAAAATGAAGATAGAAGACCTGGGCCCAAATCCCAGCTCCTTTATTTACTAACTTCATTCACTTAGGCAACCTCTCTGAGACTCAGTTTTCCCTTCTGCACAATGAGGGGTATAAAACTCGTATTTTTACTTCTTAGGATTGCTGGGAGGAAACGCTTTGTAAAATATTATGTAAACATGACATGCTGTTATTGTGATGGCAATCCAGGACATAGATAATAGAGAGATGACTGATTGATTTCTAGAACTGAGTTTCAACCCAGCATCCTTTGCTGATCTCTCACCTGCACTCCTCACTTTCCAGGAGCTTCTTATAGGTGGCAATCTCAATGTCTAGGCCCAGCTTGATGTTCATCAGCTCCTGGTATTCCTGGAGCAAGTGGGCCAGGTCCTCCTTGGCTTGCTGCAAGGCTTCCCTGAGCTCAGCCAGCTTAGCCTGGGCATCCTTGAGGGCAAGTTCCCCACGTTGTTCGGCATCTGCGATGGCCGTTTGCAGGTTTGCATTCTTTGGAGAGGGAGAAGGGACTGTGAGGTTCTGGCAGCAGCCCTCCTGTTCCCTTGCCTCTGCCCTCTGGAAGAATCTATCACCTATGTAGCTGGATGATCTCCCTTCACCATCTTGGGACCAGCCTTGATAGTCATTCAGGGATAGCCTATTCCAGCTGTTGATGGCTGACCAGAGTATATATTTCAGAGACCATGTGAAAAGCTATCTTTGTATATCTTTTCAGGAAAAAGAAGAGGCATCCATGGACCCGGGCCCTAGAAACCCTATCCTATCCTAGTAAAGCTATAAGAACATTGTCCCACAGGGAAGGCAGGAGAGAAGAGAACATTAGTGACAGGGGACCCAAGCTCCCCTTTAACCCTACACCATACACTGTTGCCCATTAGATATCTCACGGCATCTCCCCAAGCATGAGAACCCTCCCTCTGAAAGTTCTTCCCAGGGGCCTGAGAAATCTGTCCAGGTTGTTGAGTCCAGGCTGTGGCCTCATGGTTGTGAGACAGGGAACCCTATTTACGCATCGCATCTCAGACCTGAGAGAAGCTGCTCCCTACCTGCTTCTTAACGCTTTCTATCTGAGCCTGCAGCCTCTGGATCACCCTGCTGAGCTCAGCGATCTCACTCTTGGTATTCCTCAGGTCATCCCCATGCTTGCCAGCTGTGATCTCTAGCTCCCCGATCTGAAGCAGAGAGGGGAGAGAAAAGAAGAGTTAGCTTCAGGTACTCAGACACAAGAGAAAAGAAAAGCAGAGGAGGAACTGATCAGATTAGGTCCAGGGATGTTCACATTGGAAATTTAAAGTAGGAGGGTCACAAATACAGGTCATAGTTGCCCCCTTAAGATCTAAAACAATGGGGACAGCTAGGTGGTGCAGTGGATAGTACACCAGCCCTGAAGTCAGGAGGACCTGAGTTCAAATCTGTCCTCAGACCAAACACTTGGCACTTACTAGCTGTGTGACCCTGGGCAAGTCACTTAACCCCAATTGCCTAAAAAAAAAGAAAGCACCAATGGATCTTGAGAGCCCTAATAGGAGATATTACCATTCCCTCTCCCAAGCTTACCCCCAATTTCCCAGTGAAATTCACTAGTGGTGGCGAGTTGGGGGTAGATAGTTGGGAACTATTCCGTTCCCTCCATGCTGATGCTATGAGATCATAAGCTCCTTGAAGGTGGATTCTGTCAATTTTCAGCTTTGTATACAAAGTACACAGCAGGGGCAGCTAGGTGGCACAATGGATAGAGCACTGGCCCTGGAGTCAGGAAGACCCGAGTTCAAATGCAGCCTCTGACACTTAACACTTACTAGCTGTGTGACCCTGGGCAAGTCACCCCAATTGCCACACACACACACACACACACACACACACACACACAAGACACAACAGGAGCTGTGTACTTTAATAAAGACCCAGGATTCAAAGCAAAAGAGATGGTATTTCTGCTGTATTTAGCCACACATGAAACACTGTGTCCAGTTCTGGGTGCCCTATTTTAGGAAGGACAGCGACAAGTGGGAGCTTACGCAGAGGAGAGTGAAGAGGAGAATGAATGACCATGCCAAACTCAGAGTTGTGGAAGAAACTGGGGGTGGGGGTGGGGAAGGAAGGTTATCTTTGAAAAGAGTGCTAGAGAGAACATGCTAGCTGTCCCCAAGGATCTGCAAGGCTGCCATGTGGAAGAGGCTTCTTCTGTTTGGTCCAAAGAACAGAACTAGGTGCAGTAGGCAGTTTGGTACTGAAATGGAATGGGATTTAGACTCAGAGGACCTGCATTCAAATCCCAGCTCTGTTACTTGAATGCCTGTATGACCTTAATTTCTCTGTACCTCAGTTTCTTCATCTGTAAAAATGAAAGAATTGGACTCGATGACCTTCAAGGTCCCTATATGTTACAGAAAGGTAAATTTAGATTCCATATGAGGAGAAAACTCCCTACAAATAGAGCTATCCAATAGTAGATTTGGCGGCCTCGGGTGACAGTAGATTTCCCTTCATTCTGTGTCTTCCAATGGAGGCTAGCTACTGTCTTGTTAGGGATTTTGTAGGAGCGTTCTTTTTTCAGGGAGTGATAGCCCTTTGTAAAAGTAGACCTCTGAGGTCCCTTCCAACTTTGAGATTTGCATGCTTCAGCAAAATGTTGAATTGAATTGAATTGAATTGAATTACTTGTGTTCTCTGAAAAGAGGAGCAAGAGGAAGAGCCATAGAAATGATGGCTGAAGCGGAAATAGATCCTAAAAAACAGAAGAATAGGTGGGGCTCACGCATATTGGGGGAGGGGCTTTGCTCACCTTGGACTGGTATAGGGCCTCCGCATCAGCCTTGCTCTTTTGGGCCATCTCCTCGAAAACGGCTTTGGCCTCAGCAATGATGCTGTCCGGATCCAGATTTCGGTTGTTGTCCATGGAGACGATCACAGAGGTGTCACTTGTTTCTGACAGCACATTGGAATACTCCTATGCACACAGAGAAAACAGTTGCCTTATCACCCCTCCCCCCCCAGTTCTCCAGGACACTCTCCAGGGGTGGGGAAGCTGTAGCCTCGAGGCCACACATGGCCCTCTAGGTCCTCAAGTTCAGCCCTTTGACTGAATCCAAACTTCACAGAACAAATCCCCTTAATAAAAGTATTTGTTCTGTAAAACAAAGAATAGAACTAAGAGGTACTTTTATCTCACCTTTCTAAAGCCCCTTAGGGCTTACAAAACACTTTTTCCACAACCAAGGGACCAGGAAAGCAGCTCAGGAAATGGAGAATAGATAGGGTTAGGACTGGCTTCTAGCAGAGAGATAAAGAATGACCCCTTTCTAAAGCCCCTTAGGGCTTACGAAACACTTTCTCCACAATGTGGGAGGAGGAGAGGAGTTGCCCACAGCTGTGCAATAAGTATCATGCAGAACTCGAACCCAGGTCTTCTGGGCTTCATTACGCCCTGTTATAAAGGGGAGAAGTTGGGGAAATATGGGAGGAGCTTTAACAATTCTTTTCATCCAGAGATGTTTATAAGTGGCTTACAAGCCCTGATTCAGTTGAGAATGAGAGTGGTTCATTATCTAATTTATGGGGGGAAGCATTCCTCAGCTACTCTCCCACCCACCCACCCAATGCCAGAGAAGGCAGAAAGGACACAGAGCCTTACAGCTTCATAGAGAGCCTTCAGGAAGTTGATCTCATCTGACAGGCCCTCTGCTTTGGCCTCCAGGTCCACTTTGGTCATGTAGGAAGAATCCACATCCTAGAGAAATTATTGCAAAGCCACATTATTAGGATGTCACACATGCTATTTGATTGGATCTCATACCAAGTCCGTGGTAGTAGGGTTAGTGCGTATATTTTTACACTGCTTTTGCTGATGAGGAATGTGAGTTTCCAAGGATTTTAAATAACTTACCTAAGGATGTAGAAGTGGTCGAGCTGGAGCTCTAAAGGGCCTTAGGGATCATAGATTATAGAGCTGGATGGGTCTGCAGAGACCATCTAGGCCAGCCTTCCATTTTATGGTTGAAGAAACTGAGATCCGGAAAGATCAAGCTACTTACTTGCCCAAAGTCACACATGTAGTATCTGAAGTGAGATTTGAACTCAGATCCTCTGATTCCTGAGCCAGTCACCCTTCCACTGTTCTACAAGATCATCTGGTCCAAAACATCTCAAGTCTTAATGCCTTGAAATTAGCCTTTGCAAAGTATATCATGATCATCTTTTCCAATATGATGTTTATAATTATAAATATAATTGGAACTATGCAGTTAAAATTATAAATGGGACTTATATTTTGGAAAGCTCAAGGCAATTTTGATGAAGCTGAGCTTGACCCTCTCTCTCCAGTCACAGAGAGAGCCAGTTATATTAGCCCTTCAAGAATCGTGGTGCTAGACAGTGGTGTTCTTAAAGGGTCCATAGGAACAGATTTCCAAAGCATGGTATTACTCGCTTAGTACAGTGCTTGGCACAAAGTAGGTGCTTAATAAACGTTTGTTGACTGAGTGAAGCACTAGAAGGACCAGTTTCTGTGTGGTAATTTCTCCCCGCTTGAGAGAATCACCCGGTCCTTTCCAGAGACCACAACAGAGAAACAACCGATTGACTCCAGAAGCTTCACCCATGGCATCATGGGAATTTGGTCTGCCCTTTGAGTAAAAGTTGTTGGATTCTGCCCAGTTGGACCCAGCCCAGCACTAAAAAGTTAGTCACGTTCCCCACCACCACCACCACCACCCACCCCAACCCCACATTAAACCCGGACCTGCTCAGCCTCATTGCCCAGTTTACCTTTTTCAGCACCACAAAATCATTCTCAGCTGTGGTTCGTTTATTAATCTCATCTTCATACCTGCAGGAGATAGTGAAAAGGGTGGAGAAATTAAAGGAGTGGAGAGGAAAAGATAAAGGAAGAGAGGAGAAGAGGGAAAAGAGGAGAAGATGAAGGAGAGAAGACAGAGAGGAGAAAGATCAGGAGAAGAGAAGACAGGTCAGGAGAGGACAGGACAGGTCAAAATAAAAGAGAGAATACAGGAGGATATGACAGGACAAGAGAGGACAGATTAAGAAGGAGAGGAGAGGAGAAAAGAGACCCAGCTCAGTGAAGCTTTGTATGAGTTGTATCTACACTAGCCTAAGAAATGTCCATCCTAGTATTTGTATCAATGTCCTGGGGCTGGGTTTTTGGGTCTGTCTTTCAATCCCCTGATACATCAAAAATTAAATGGGATTATTATCTGGCAATTCAGACAAAACCAGGCTTAGAGATAGATTCTTTGAATCATCAGGTGCTTAAAAGTTCATTGCACACACACATTACAGACTTCTAATGCCTCTTACATCTCCTCTCCAAGCACTTAGGCACAAGCTTGCCCGTTCCCTCATACCAGGACTTTCCTTTACACATTAGCCTGTGTTCCTGTCCAGGCTGGTTCTCTTCTGTCTTTTCTTAAATGCTCCCAACTGCCTCCCCCTCATGCTTATGAGTTCTGGGAGTGAAAACTTTTTTTTAATATTCTCCTGAGCCAAACAGAATTGTGAAAGAACTAAGTGTCCACATTGCTCCTCTTCTACCAATTGCCATTGCACCTGCCTCACTTTCTCCCCCTTCCCATTATCCTCTACCCCAAACACTTCCAGACTAAACTCCTGGTACCAACTCAGCTTGCCCAAGCTTACTCTATTTTACCTACCTTGCTTAATCTATTTTAGAACTTTGTCCAGGGGCCCCAAGGTCAACCACTGTCACACTGTCTGTGTGTCTGCCATGGACATGTGCTTTTCTCCTCTGTCAGACAGAGAATTCTCTGACTGCAGGATTTCTGTCACATTCCCTCAATTCAGTTTCTTCCTGATATAGCAGCTTCCTTATTTTCATGGATAGGTGACTGTTTGGGGTTTGGTTTGAGATTTTTTTAGGGGGACAGTTGGACCAGAGAACTGTGACTTCAGATGCAGATCTGTTACTTTTCTCTAACTTACATTCTTAGAGAGTTATTTAGGGGCACTTAGCAGTTAATGACTTACAAATGTGCCCCCACTCATATGTGTCAGAGGTACGGTTTGAGCCCAGGTCTTCTTGACACCAAGTATGCCCTTCTATATACACACTGTACATTGCTGACTCCCAAGGATACCAATGTACATTGTCAGAAGCAAGTTTGAAATTATGGCATCCTAGAGTTGGAAGGACCCTCAGACGTCACTGAGAACAACCACTACTACCTCGAACATGAGCCTTCAACATCTCCAACAAGTTGCCATCAGTGCTACTTCTTGAAAATATGCTACTTCATCCAGGGGTAAAGCTTTGAAATTAAAACCTCCTTTGCTTCTAGCCTGCATCCTACAGATCTTGGAAATAAGGATAGAACATGTCCCCCATTTTAGGATCTTATCTATTTGATGTGAGCCATGACCACCCCATTCATTACAGGGCCAGGTAACTGTTCCTTTGGCTGCCTCGATCACTCACTTTTTCTTGTATTCCTCCACCAGGTTCTGTACCGTACTCAGTTCTCCCTCCAGGCTGCTCCTCTCCCTTAGGAGCCCATCCAGGTGGGACTGGAGGCAGTTGATGTAGGATTCAAAAAATGGTTGCAAGTTATTGGAACTGGAGCTGGAGCTCTCTGTCTGCTGTTGCAGGAGGCACCACTTGGTCTCTAGAACCTTGTTTTGTTGCTCCAAGAACCGAACCTGTAACCCAGTAAGAAAAAAGGAGGTTGGGTAACCCCAACTCAAGTCGCTTCCTCCCAGGGATCACCAAACCTACAGTGTTAATTTTCAAGACAGTCTTGAGCCCAAGTCCAAGAGAAGTCTCAGTGGGCGTCATCATTCTCTACCTCCAAACCAATACATAGCCACAAACACTCACCTTGTCGATAAAAGTAGCAAATTTGTTATTGAGGGTTTTAATCTGCTCCTTTTCTTGGGTCTTCACCACCCCAATCTGGGGGTCAAGCTTCACATTCAGGGGCTGCAGGAGACTCTGGTTGATGGTCACTTCTTGAATGCCAACGGGAAAATCACCAGAACAACCGAAACCACTGGATGCACCTCTGATACCACTGAATCCTCCTCCAAAGCTGTAGGATCCTCCTCCAAAACCACTGCCCATGCCTTTTCCACCAAAGCCACCACTCTGGCCACCACAGAAGCTGGGCCCAGCCACACTACAGGAGATCTTCTTGCTTCCTCCCAGGTTATACATGCTTCTGCTGCCAAATCCTCCACCTATCATGGCACAGGCAGTGGCCATGCTCATCCCTCCTGATCGGGAGGCTGATTTGGATCTCCTAGAGGTGCTGTAGCTCTGACCAGAGATCGTGGCAGAGCGTCCACTGAAACCCTTACTGGTCTGAGATGACCGGGTAGACTGATGACTCAGCATTTCCTTGGAATGGAGGAAGACAACAGAGTTGAGTAGCAAAGGAAGAGCAAGAACCCTCTAAGACAGTGGACTGGAATGGCGCTTTTTATAGGGCCCAGGAGAGTCAGCGAATTAATCTGGAGCCTTCCTGGGCTTTGTTCTCCCGACAAAATAGGTCAATGGTTCAAATATGAAGCACACCACTGCCCTAATCACCAACTCCCCAGCTGAGTGCCTTTTCCCCTCAATTAGTTTTGGTTTGTCTCCACCAAACTTGAAATTTGTAGGCTCTCCTTTTGATGGGTAAACTTATTCCTTGCCAGGACCTGGCCCAACCCTACAGCCTCAAGGCACCAGCTTCAATTAGGTGACTTGTGCCTTACTCCCTTCCTCAGGAACCTGGTTGATCTATTCCCATCACTCAGTCCTTGACCTGATCGAGCAGGTTCACAAGAGAACTTGAGGTGCTCTGGGAAGATGAAAAAAGTGGAACCTTCCTTAAGGCTGCTCCCTCAGGAAACGCCATAATGCTCACATTGCTAGAGCACCTCAATGGTTAACAAAGTACTTTCCTATCAGCAATACTGTGAGATTTGTATTGCAAGTTCTGTGATCACCATGGTTACAGATGAGAAAACAATAGCCTGAGGAGATTAAGAAACGAGCAAACGCACATAACTGATAAGGAGCGAGTTAGGACTTGAACCCAGGTCTCCTGGGGCCAAATCCAATATTTCTCACTAAACAGCAGGGGAAGCAACTTAGCCAGGATTATACAGTTAGTAAATGCCGGACCCGGGATGCGAATCCGTAGCCCCTGACTCCAAGGTTAGCTTTTATTCCAATCAACTACACAGCTTCTATGTCATCCCCCAAAGAAAGAACTAGATAACATGTTCAAAAGTGTAACAAAGAACCCTTTTTTCACTTTTCCAAGTGGGAGAGAGAATAGCTTTGGAATGGTAGATCATAGTGCTCCAGGACTTCCCCAGGTTTCGTTTCAATGAATTCACCATTGGAGTCTGTTCATCTCGAAGTCATCATTATTCATCACAGTTCAGAGGGGAAGGAAAGAAAGAAGGAAGGAAGGAAGGAAGGAAGGAAGGAAGGAAGGAAGGAAGGAAGGAAGGAAGGAAGGAAGGAAGGAAGGAAGGAAGGAAGGAAGGAAGGAAGGAAGGAAGGAAGGAAGGAGGGAGGGAGGGAAGGAAGGAGGGAAGGAGGAAGGAGGGAAGGAGGGAAGGAGGGAAGGAGGGAAGGAGGGAAGAGGGAAGGAGGGAAGGAGGGAAGGAAGGAAGAAGGAGGGAAGGAGGAGGGAAGGAGGGAAGGAGGGAAGGAGGGAAGGAGGGAAGGAAGGAAGGAGGGAAGGAAGGAAGGAAGGAAGGAAGGAAAGGAAGGAAGGAAGGAAGGAGGAGGGAAGGGAAGGAAGGAGGAGGAAGGGAGGGAAGGAAGGAGGGAAGGAGGAAGGAAGGAAGGAGAAGGAAGGAAGGAAGGAAGGAAGGAAGGAAGGAAGGAAGGAAGGAAGGAAGGAGGGAGGAAGGAAGGAGGGAAGGAAGGAAGGAGGGAGGGAAGGAAGGAGGGAAGGGGAGGAAGGAAGGAAGGGAAGGAAGGAAGGAAGGAAGGAAGGAAGGAAGGAGGAAGGGGGAGGGGGAAGGAGGGAAGGAGGGAAGGAAGGGAGGAAGGAAGGAAGGAAGGGAGAAGGAAGGAAGGAGGAAGGAAGGAGGGAAGGAGGGAAGGAAGGAAGGAAGGAGGGAAGGAGGAAGGAAGAGGGAAGGAAGGAAGGAAGGAAGAAAGGGGAAGGAAGAAGGAGGGAGGAAGGAGAAGGAGGGAAGGAGGGAAGGAGGGAAGGAAGGAAGGAAGGAAGGAGGGAAGGAGGGAAGGAGGGAAGGAAGGAAGGAAGGAGGGAAGGAAGAAGGGAGGGAGGGAGGGAGGAAGGAAGGAGGGAAGGAAGGAGGGAAGGAAGGAAGGAAGGAAGGAACGAAGGAACGAAGGAACGAAGGAAGGACTACATAATAGACATTAACAGTTTCATATACAATCCTCTCCTGATCTACAATGTATATGAAAACATTCATTTTTATGAGATGTTTGCTAAATTTGGATTTTAAAAAAAAAGAAAAAAAGGACTTTTTAGCAAAGTACTGTGTATCTTGGACGAGTGTCTTGATTCTGAACGTAAAATCTAAATCTCAATATGGACAATAATTCCAAAAGTAATCACATGCCAGTTCTTAAACAAAGTGTATTATATGACTATATATGTAATAGAATGCATAAATTAGAAAGGTGGGTGGCACAGCGGATAGAGCATGAGACTTAGAGGCAGGAAGAACTGAGTTTGATTCTTGCCGCAAACACTTAACAGCTGTGTGACCCTGAGCAAGTGACTTAACCTCTCTGTGTCTCAATTTCCTCACACGTAAAATGGAAATCATCATAGCACCTACCTCACAGGGTGGTTGGGGATCAAATGAGTTAACACATGTAAAACACTTGGCAAACTTTAAAGCATTGTTTACATGCTAGTTATTTTTTTAATTATTATAGTAGAGAAGTTCCTTCAGTAAATTATTTTTGTCCTATGAATGATACTTTCAAAAGTTCATATAAACTCAACATCAACTTTGAAAGAAAAAAAAAGCCACCTCTGTAGGCTTCTGTTTCATTAGCTATAAAATGAGAACTTTGGACTAATTGATATCTAAGGTCCCATTCAATTCTAAATCTACAATCTTATGAGTTCAGTCTATTTCTGGCTCTGTTCTCATCTCTGCCTCAGTCTGTGTGTCATCTGCATGTTTCCTATCTTCCCCAATAGTCAAGGTGTTCAGGGAGTGGGGTGGGGGGCTCCTCTTGCTGAATCCCTATCTATACTCAAGGACAAGACAGGGCTCTCTCCACACGTAAAGGTCAGGAAAGGCTGGTGACAACTGACTAATTGAAATTGCCAAAAATCTCCTACTTCAGAGTTTCTGTCATGTCTAATGTACCATCTCAGATGGATGAGCAACACAATCAGTACTTGCTTATTCATGTTAATTGGAGGGAGCACCAGCATGAGTGATACCAAACAACCAGTCATCTGGAAACCATTTTGATTTGGCCCTGGGCTCTCAGACCCTCACCTGAATAAATGAGCATGCCCCAGTCCTCTGCTGGCTTGCCTCTTCTGTCCACAGTCTGAAACTCATCAGGGTCATACAGAGGAGGCCATAACAGATAAAGGAGAGCTGATCCCATTAAGAATAGAATTTATATTAGAGGTAAGAGAGGGCTTTAGAACTGATGATGTAATTCCTTCTTTGAAAGTTAAGGGGCAGGGGGCAGCTAGGTGGCGCAGTTGATAGAGCACCAGCCCTGAAGTCATGAGTACCTGAGTTCAAATGCAGTCTCAGACCAAACACCTGACACACTTACTAGCTGTGTGACCCTGGGCAAGTCACTTAACCCCAATAGCCTTTAAAAAGAAAAGAAAAGAAAAGAAAGTTAGGGGGCAGCTAGGTGGTGCAGTGGATAGAGCACTGGCCCTGGATTCAGGAGGTTCTCAGTTCAAATCCGGCCTCAGACACATAACACTTACTAGCTGTGTGATCCTGGGCAAATCACTTAACCCCATTGCCTAGCCCCCCCCCAAAAAAAAAGAAAGTTTGGAGAAAGGGAAGAGATATCAGGGAATGGTTAGAATGTATCAGCCAAAAGGCATTTCAGTATTTACTATGTGCCAGGCACTGTGCTAAGCCCTGAGGATACAAGGAAAAGTAAACTAGACCCTCAAGGAGTGTACATTCTAATAGGGCAGAGAACATGTAAATAACTAGACACATAAAAGATATACAGTGTGAATAGAAGGTAATGCCAGAGGGAAGGCACTGGCAGCTAGAAAGGGGGAGGAAAAGCTACTGCATTTGAACTGAGTCTTAAAGGAAGCCAGAGAAATTGAGGCAAAAGTGAGGAGGGCAGAATATTCAGTTATGGAGGACAGCCAAGGCAAAAAACACAGTGTTACTTTCAAGGAACTGCAAGGCCAGTAGCATTGGCCAGAAATCAACAACAGAAAACAATAACACAATAAAGTGTGGAGAGGAAAGAAAAGTATTAGAAGACTGGAAAGGGAGGTAGGGCCAAGTCACAAAGAACTTTAATGTCAAACAGAAGAGAATATATTTTATTCTATGGAAATTAAAAAGAGAGAGATATGAAAGAAAAAGAAAGAAAGAAAGAAAGAAAGAAAGAAAGAAAGAAAGAAAGAAAGAAAGAAAGAAAGAAAGAAAGAAAGAAAGGAAGGAAGAAAGAAAGAGAAAGAAAGAAAGAGAGAGAGAGAGAGAGAGAGAGAAAGAAAGAAAGAAAGAAAGAAAGAAAGAAAGAAAGAAAGAAGAAAGAAGGAAGAAAGGAAGGAAGAAAGAAAGAAAGAAAGAAAGAGAAATAATAATAATAATAAAAAGGGAGCCACTGGAACTTATCAGGCAAGGAGGTGACATGGTAGGTCCTACATATTAGGACAAAACACCTTGGCAACACCTTGGAGGATGGATTGTTGTGGGGAGAGATTTGAGGGAAGGAGGCCAGTTAGAAGGTTGTGTAATTGTCCTGGTGTGAGGTAACGAAGGCCTGCACCAGGGTTTGGGCTGTGTGAGTAGAAAGAAGGGGCATATATGAGAGATGTCATGAAGGTAGAAACAAGATTTTGCAATGCATTGGATGTGCAGGATAAACGAGATTGAGGAATCAGGAATGACACCCAGGTAGGGAACCTGATTTACTGGGAGGAAGATTGTGCCTTGAACAGGGAATTTTGTGGGGGAAAGGTAATAAATTCCGTTTTGGACATGTTGGGTTTGAGATGACTATGGGACATTCAATTTAAAACGATGAAAAACCAGGTGAAAGTGAGAAAAAATACCTCAGCTCAAACCAAGAGCAAAAGAAAATGACCTAATCACCAGGAGGTCCCCTCTCAATATGCAGACCAGGACTACCTTTTCACTGAATTAGGGTATGGTCGCTCAATAAACATATATCATAAATATATATATAATAAATATATATATTTGAATAAATAAAATATATAAAACAAATATAAACACAAACATAAATAAAATCAATCAACAAACATATGTCAAGCACCTACCACATGCCAGGCTAAGTGCTAAAGATACAAAAAGGGATAAAAGACAGTCCCTGCTCTCAAGGAGTTTACAATCTAATGGGGGAGACGGGCAAACAAATATAAACAAAGCAAACTATGTACAGGTTAGATAAGAAATAATTCACAGAAAGAAAGCGCTGGAATTAGGAGGGGTTAAGGAAGGTTTCCTGTGAATAGGTGCTACAAAAAGACAGATAGAAATCCTGTCCCCAATCTCCATATTTTAGGGGAGGGAGGGAGCAGTGCAGCACACATATAAATATAATGAGGGAGGAAGTTGGTGCAAGCAGCTTGCTCAGCTTATGCAGTCTCTCTGCATGCAGGACACTGGAGAGATGGCTTCCAGGAGAAGCAGGATGATGTGTAAGGAAAGTGATGTGGAGAGATTGTAGAACACAGTAGAGTTGGTTCTGGTTGGC